ATTATTATTATTTTGAGACAGTCTCGCTCTGTTGCCCAGGGTGGAATGTAATGGGACTGTCTCAGCTCACTGCAACCTCCGCCTCCTGAGTTCAAGAAGTTCTTCCCGCCTCAGCCTCCCGAGTAGCTGGGATTGCAGTCTACCATCACCACACCCAACTAATTTTTGTATTTTTAGTAGAGTCGGGGCTTCACTGTGTTGGCCAGGCTACTCTCAAACTCCCGACCCTTAGGTGATCCACCCACCTCGGCCTCCCAAAGTGCTAGGATCTCAGGCATGAGTCACCACACCTGGCCTCATACATTATTAAAGTCCATTGTTACATTGGGGTTCACTCTTTGTGTCGTACATTTCTATGAGTTATAGCAAACGGATAATGTGCTGTGTCCAGCATTATGCAATCATCCAGAATGGTGTCACTGCCCTACAAAGTCCCTGTGTTCCATCTATTCATCCCTTCCTTTCTCCCCTAAACTGTTGGCAAACTCTGCTCTTACTATCTCCATAGTTTTGCCTTTTCTTGAATTATAGTATAGTTGGAATCTTGCAGAATGTAGCTTTTTCAGACTGACCTCCTTCATTTAGCAATATGCACTTAAGGTTCCTTTGTGTCCTTTTGTAGCTTGATAGCTCATTTCTTTTTAATCACTAAATAACACTCCATTGTGTAGATGTATCACAGTTTATTCATTCACGGATTGAAAGACAACTTGGCTTTTCCAATTTTGAACAATTATGAATAAAGCTGCTACAAACATTTGTGTACAGGCTTTGTGTGGATGTTTTTGCTCATTTGAGTAAGTATAGTGTTGCATCATTTGAAAAGCTTGTGGTTACCATTGTAAAAAACTGCCAGACTGTTTTCCAAAGTGACTGTACCACTTTACATTCCTATCAATCAGCAATGAATGAGAATTCCTGTTTGTCCTTTCACATCCTCTCCAACATTCAGTGTTTTCAGTGTTCTTTTTTAAAACTTTAGCCATTCTAATAAATACATGGTATCTTGTTTTAATTTGCAATTCTCTCATCACATATATTGATAATCTTACTTACCATCTGTTTATCTTCATTGATGACCTATCTGTTCAGATCTTTTGCTAATTTTGTAATTAGGTTGTTTATTTTCTTATTGTTGAACGTTAACGGTTCTTTGTATAATTTGGATACGAATCCTTTATCAGAATGTGTTTTGCAAATTTTTTTTCTGTGGCTTTTCATTCTTTTAACAGTTACTTCATCAGAGCGAAAGGTATTAGTTTTAATAAAGTCCAATTTATCAATTTTCTTTTCATAGATCATACTTTGGGCACCTAAGTTTTCTTATCTTTTTCAAATTATATAGCTTCACAATTTACATTTTAGGTCTATAATCCATTTTGAGTTAATTTTTGTGAAAACTGTAAGGTCTGTTTACAGACTCAGATATTTGATTATACCAGCACCCATTTATTTGTTAAAAAGACTATCCTTTCTCTATTGACTTTGCTCCTTTGTTAAAAATCAGTTTTCTGTATTTGTATCAGTCTATTTCTGGGCTCTCTGTTCTGTTTCATTGATCTATTTCCTTATTCTTTCATTGATACCACACTGTCTTGATCACTGTAGTGATAGTGATCAAAGATAGTGTCAGTCTTCAAAAACTCTATTGTTCCACCTCAATATTGTGTTGGCTCTTCTAGTCTTTTGTTCTCCATATACACTTTAGAATCAGTTTGTCAATATCCATAAAATAACTTGCTGGAATTCTGAATGGGGTAGTGTTCAATCTGTAGATCATACTGGGAAGAAAGGATATCTTAATAATATTGTCTTCCTATCCATATGTGGAACATTTTATTTCATTCAGATATTCTTTTATTTCCTTCATCATAGCTTTATAGTTTTCCTCACATAACTCTTATACATATTTTGTTAGGTTTATACCTAAGGTTTTTGTTGTCATTGTTCTTTTTGTTTGCTTTGTTGGCATAAATGTAAACAGGCTTGTTTTTAATTTCAAATTCTGGTTGTTCATTGCTGTATATAGGAAAGCAATTGACTATTTGTAAAAGTTTGTTTCCTACAATATTGTCATAATCACTTATTTAAAAAAACTTCACCAATTCTTTGGGATTTTATACATAGACAATCATATCATTTGTGAATAAAGGTAGTTTTATTCTTTCCTAATCATCTTTTCTTATTCTTGCTTTACTGCATTAGCTAGGACTTCCAGTATGATATGGAATAGGGTGTGATATGGAATAGGGGTGATAAGAAGGCACATCCTTGTCTTGTTCCTGATCTTAGGGAGAAAGCATCTAGTTTCTCACCATTATGATGTCAGCTAGTTTTCTATGTTCTTTATCCCATTAAGGAAATGCCCTTCCATTCCTAGTTGTTATCATCATGACTGAGTGTTGGATTTTGCCAAATGTGTTTTCTGCATTTATTGATATATTCACATTTTTTCTTTAACTAATTGATGAGATTACATTGACTTCTGAATGTTGAACCAACTTAGCATACCTAGGTTAAATCTCTATTGGTTGTAGTGTGTAATTACTTATATACATTGTTGAATTCAATTTGCTAATAATTTGTTGATTTTTTTATATCTGTTCATAAGAGATACAGGCCTATAACTTTTTCTTCATAGTAATTTGTCTTTGCCAAATTTAGTTAATGCTGGTCTAGCTGGATTAGTTAGGAAGTATTATCACTTCTGTTTTCTGAAAAGGACTGTAGAATATTGATGTCATTTATTCTTTAAATGTTTGGTAGAGTCTACTAGTAAAACTATTTGAACTTGGTGCTTTCTGCTCTGAAAGGTTATTGTTGATTTAATTTCTTTAATAGATCTAGGATATTTAGATTATCTGCCTATTAATTACACCTGCCATTGTAATGATCTCTTATTTCTCCTTGTGTGAGCTTTAGCCAATGATATTTTGAAGTATTATTTCCATTAGGATTAAGTAAATGTTCAAGATGACAACTATTATGAATTATTCAAGTCATAAAGAAGTTATTATATATTAGGAGTTAGAAAAAAATTACCTTTGCTATCAGTAAAGGTTCTAATAAATTTGATTGCACATATTTAGTCTACTGCAAAACTAAGTTCATATCTGATAACTGAAAGAGGCATAGAAATTTACTTTGAATCGACAATGTCAAATAGAGCAACAAATTAATGAGACATCAACAGTGAGAGGCTTTTCATGTTTTCTTATAAATACTTTTAAGATCAGAAACATTTTTTCCCCAAAATTTCAAAGAAACAGTTAGAGCCAAAGCATTTTTAAAAGAAAAAGTTTACTTGCAAAGGTTCAAGCGAGTCAGACTTCAGAAAAACTGGATAAGCAAGTGAAAAATATAACAGGTATTTAGAGAAAAAGATAAAGAAGATTACCACAATTACTAAGTTTGCATTAGTTTGTACATGGAGAAAAAATTTTGGCCAAGTATGGTGGCTCACGCCTGTAAACTCAGCACCCTGGGAGGTCAAGGCGGGTTGATCACGAAGTTAGGAGTTCGAGACCAGCCCAGCCAACATGGTGAAACACCGTCTCTACTAAAGATACAACAAATTAGCTGGCATGGTAGTACACACCTGTAATCCCAGCTACTCAGGAGGCTGAGAGAGGAGAATCACTTGAACTTGGGAGGCAGAGGTTGCAGTGAGCCAAGTTTGCACCACTGCACTCCAGCCTGAGTGGCAGAGTGAGACTCTGTCTCAAAAAATAAAAAAATACCAAAATCTTATTACATGATTAGCATATCCAGAAAGATTTTGCAACATGAGCTAAATAAAAGTCAAGAACAAAATGTCTTTGTTGGGGGTCTGGGGATATAAGAAATACTCGATGTTTCATTATTTCAGGACCAGAAATTGACAGGGTAACTCTCTTATTTTTGGTTAATCCTAGGATACAAGGTGCTTCATCATGATGAAGGACCTGACATGACTTCTGCTTTGCGACCAGAAGCATAAAGCAAATGTCACTACTACAAAATATAGATAGGATATTTCTTATAACTCTATTCACTGCTATAAGTAAATAACCCAAAGCCAAATCATAGACTCTCAATTACCGTGGTTTTTACACATTTCTACCATCCCTACCTGGTGCACCGTATGGTGCCATACTGAGCTATATTTTTCTACTTCACAACTTTTCACTTACGGAAGACGGCTATTATGTCCCCTACACTATTCTTATGTGGGCAAGAAGAGAACTTTTGACCCTCATATGTTTAACATTTATAATTATGTGTGGCCTAAATACTCACCATTGTAGTTACTGAAACGCCTGTGAAATAATTTTTAAATCTGCTTATTTAGAAAAGAAAGTCTATCTCTAGTAAGAGTGATGGAAACTAAGAAAAAAATATAGATGTCTATAAAAAAGTGATGGTTTTCAATGACAAAATATGATTTATGAAACAAATGGCTAAAATCCTAAATCCTTTGCACATTTGTGCTCAGGAATTCTCTGATGTGATGTGGCAGCTTCTGTCCTCCCCTTCCTTTCACTCCTCCCTTCTCCCTTCTTCCACTTCCTTTTAAATTTTTAAAGGAGTGAGGGTGGGAAGATCAATACATACAAACCCATACATGTACTCATAACTTATCTTCTTAAAAGGCTTTTAAATTCTGATTTTTCCATTATGTTCACTGTCCTTCCTTAAAGGTTTAGATATGTGTCCAAATGTCCAAAATCTAACATAGTATCTCATAATTATACTAGATACTTGATGCTAGGAGAAATAAGAGATTATTGCAGTGGCAAGTGATAAAATTTCCTTACATACAATTTTGATAGTACATGTAGGATACGCAAAAGGAATTATTAAGCCAATTCAGGTTGTAGCTCTTTCTAGTGATTAACAGTATATTCCTGTTAATATAGTCTAGCAGGCAGGCATGGGCTTTTGAAGGGGCATAGAAAAAAAATGCCCAAATCCACAGAGGACAATTTGGTGATAATATCTCTCTTTTATATATTTCAAAGGTGTCCTTGAATGGCCATTTTGGACAAAACTGGTTGTGGTAGCCATTGGCTTCACAGGAGGTCTTGTCTTCATGTACGTACAGTGTAAAGTCTACGTTCAGTTGTGGCGCAGGCTGAAGGCCTACAACCGTGTGATCTTTGTACAAAATTGCCCAGACACTGCCAAAAAAATGGAGAAGAACTTCTCATGCAATGTAAACACAGACATCAAGGATGCTGTGGTAGTGCCTGTATCACAAACAGGTACAAATTCACTGCCATCTGCAGAGGGTGGCCCCCCTGAAGTTGTATCAGTTTGACTGAACCAGTTGGAAGTTTCTTCACAGAAGAATATCTTTCTAGCCCTCAGCCACTACAAATGACAGAAGTGATCTTGAATTATTTACTCCCTTCAGCTCCTCCTTTCTCCTACTGACACATTTTTTTTGACTTTGTTCAAAGAGGAAAGACGAAAAACACACCAAATGATCAGGATCCCATGAAGTATAGCCTAAAGAGTGATATGGACATGTGAAGTTTGCTAGAGAATGATTTCTAAGACAATTAAGAACTACTGCAGCAATGAATGCTTTTAAGCAGTAATAAAAGATTAAATGGACCCACGATACTCTTCACAGTAACAGGGGAAAAGTTCAAGAATACAGACTTGAATTGCAACGTGTATTACTTCTTGGGCCTTGCAATGTTAACTATTTATCTCGTCTGGAAATAACAAACATATTTGGTTTTAAGCCTGAAATTGTCTGCATTATCCTGAGGTCACACTGGAAGAGAACTTGGAGGATGCATATTTTGATATGCTTTGACAGCTAACAGATTTTTATGGTAATAGTGGAGTCTGGTTATTTTGACAGATGCATGTTTTTAAAATCGATGCAATATACATTTGAAGACATTGATACTTGGAACTCTGTTTAAATCATGAACAAAAAATTTTCAGAAAATGTTCAGATGTAATTATCTCTGTTAAATACCCACAGAAATCAGTTACCAGGTCTTATATTTTTGTCTGGTTCCTCTAATACCGTGCTGTCCAACAGAAACAGAACAGCCACAAATGCAGGCCACATATGTAAATTTTTAATTTCCTAGTAGCCCCATTTTGAAAAGTCAAATAAATGGTAAAATGAATTTTGATTTTTTAAAATTTAACACTATACATGTTATTTCAACATGTCATCAATGTAAAAAATTATTGAGATAGTATACATCTGTTTTTTGAACCAAGTTTTCAAAATCCGGTTTGTACTTTAAAAGCACACTTCAACTTGAATTAACTATATTGGATAGCACAGCCCTAAAGGTAGAAACGAAGCTTCTGCTTTATTTAACAGTTGAATATTTCAAAACAGCAGTTTAATTCATTCTTATATTTCAAAGTCTCACAAATGTTATGATTTTTAAAAGCACTAAATTAAGTATCCTCATTTTAAACTCAGCTGAAGTTCACATCTCTCAAGGGTAAAAACACCAACTGTATAGAAAGATAAAACAATCCGCCTATAGCCAAGTTGTGAAATTAATTTGTCTGCTACTATGAAGTACTTATGATAGGGGACTAAAACTACCTAGTTTTGTTATTAAATCAAATGTGTAAGGTTTATTTCATCCATACGAGGTGTCACCTTGACAGATGAGTAGTTATTATGACTAAGAATCTAGACCTTATTTTTAAAAGCTGACAGGATTTCCCTTGCTCAGTTAGAAAGCAAAAATATTCAACAGATTCTGTGATAAGTAATTAATTAATTGTTTAGGTTTGACAGTTGATTATTGTGTTCTTTGCATATTCATGTAAAACTGATGTGTGAATGATATTGCAGTGAGCTAGATTCATGATTATAGATACAGTAGCCTGTCAAAGAAAGATGTCCTACATTAAAAAAGGTGACTTATTTTTGTTAGCTGTCATTATTTATTAACATGAAAAGGCAATGATGGCCATAACCAAAGCATGAGTGTCGCATTGCACAAATCTGGGTATCACATGGATGCACTTTGTAATTATCAGTGTGCTTTGTTCTTCACAGATCACAGGAAAAAGGAAAAAAAAAAAAAACAATTCAATGAAGAGAAAGACGGTATGAATATTAGTAGTGGCTGACACTGAGTCCAAATAGTCTTGATTCTTAGAAATAAAGAAAAGGTAAACCATGTCAATTTTGTGTGTGTGTATGGTGTGTGTGTATTCATGTATATATGCGGGAAAATGTTAAGGCATTCAGTCAGGAAACAAAAGGTTTAAAACTCATCTTTCTTAAAACTTGTTATAAGCATAGGGAAAACAAAGTTGAGGTAACTAAACTGAACCAAAAATTGTGCATAAATTTATAAAAAGGATACAAGTAATGTTTTTAAAAAAATGTGGACCTTAAATTAACTGTATATTAAATTCCTCTTAAATTCCCATTTTAAATATTTAAGATAAATACATTTATGAATAACAAAGCTGTGGGTGATTTAATCATGGCATCACATCTAAGGGTTAACCTGAATGCAATTTTCCTAAGCTTTTTACTAATCCATTTTCCCTGTGGGTTAGTAGTGGCAACATGCTGTTTACAAACATTCCTGGGGAAAAACATCTAGACACTAGCAAACAAAGAAATGTTGGTTTCTCTTTTGTTTGCTCTGAAAGTAAAATAATTTTTTACCTTAATTAATATGGAAAATTTTGTTTAAACTCTGTACAAACCTAAGCAAGATAGGTTGCAGGGCTGATTTCACAGTGGAAGATGATTGGCTAAAATAAAGCCTCACTTATTAAGGGCTACATCTAACACTAAGAAAACACTTCTAGAATGAAAAGCAAAGGTAAAAGTATTATTGTACTAATAGTAAAAGAGGACATGAGATTTTAAAACTATACCTATGGGCTTTGACGTTGTTGAAATGAGAAAATAATATAGCTTCCTGGCAGGTTAGAAGTCAATACTTTATTTTGCTATTCTTCTGACTTTTTGAAACCTGAAGTTCTGAATTTCAAGTTTTTCAGAAGCTTTTCAGCAATGGTTATGGTTCAAACATCTGAAGTAACTACCTGCATCTAAAACCTAATGTTAATTATTTTTATTTTACATTCTGTGTGGCAATGGAATATTTGCGCTTTAAAACAATAAAACGATTAGCTTTGTGGCAGTGCTTTCTTGTGGCTGGCTGTCCCCTTCAAAAAGAAAAACTGTTGGACAGAATGCCAATTCTGAGGCATGTTTACCTGCTCATGGAAGAAATAAAATGGAATTGAAATAAAGGACTAAAATTGAAGAATGAACTTACAGTTCTGTTAAAAACCTTGGCTTTTTATAATCATGACTCATCAGTGTTATCAATACCATAAACCACAGGCATTGACACTGTTAATTTAATATTGTACAGGAGTAAAGATTAAATTGTAAAAGAAAGAAATTGCAATTTTTTTTAAAAAAACTGAAGCCCAAAAAGCAATTAAGCTTAAGTATGAAAACAAAATAAAAATGAAAAAATCTAAAGTGAGCCCAACAACCTGAGATACAGCAACGTGTAAACTGAAGGAAGATAGGTATAGACTGAATGAGTTTTTCAAAACACCCCAGCATTAAATCTCACTGCGCTGCTTCTGTACGTGATTATGGTCCCAGAGAGACGATCTCAGTTATATTTTATCTTGTTTTACGAAAAATCCTTGGGTACCCTTTAAAACATCTATTCTTTGACAGGAAAATTAGCTCATTAGAGCAATGACACCATTAAGGGAAATTATAAGGGTGCTGGGGATCAGGTGGAAAGATTCTGCCATCTGCCCCATAGTTTACCCTTCCTTGCCTTGAAAATGAATATTCTGAAACAGAGTAGAGCTCTTAAAAGTTATTAGTATCATCATTATTATAGTTGTTATATAATACTTTAAGAAAGATGAAAACCTTTTTTCTTTCCTGACTCAGCCCAATGGTGCTATTTTACATATCAACACAGTTGACAGGAATTACTGTTATTTTGGGCTGCAGTGTTTCCTCTACATCTAAAGAAAGCCCATTTTCAAACTGGATACTGCATTAACACAAAGAAGGGAAAATTATTTTAACTGTGTGCAGTTTTTGAAATTAGGCATTTGTACTGTTTTGGTTTTACATAATTCTCTTGCATTAACAACTTACTGTTTTGTGAATCAAGTGTACTAAAGCAAATTAAGAAAAAGAAAATAATAATCTGTGAAAGACTTTGTATATTAAACAAGTGACGCAAACCTTGGTTGTGTTTTCTATACTTTTTGCCTAACATACTGATATTTGTATTTGCAATGTACACAATAGACATAAATTTTTTATTTAAGATTTTACAAGGGTCTGAACATATTTAAAAGCAAACCTACACTGACTAACTAATGACATTGTACAAAGGAATAAATACGCTAACAGAAGGAAACCAATGGAAATAAACTATGTGGACTTTCAAACCTGCCTTAAAAAAATGTTTAAGAGAAATCACAACGTAATCTAAAGAAGGATTTTCTCAAGAATAAGGCTTGGATTTAGAAAAATAAGACTATAACAGCATTTTTCTATTCAGAGATAATAGTGGATTCAGAAAATTGCATGGATAATAAACATTAAAAGCAAGATACTGGAATCTAAGAGGTTTGGTGATAGCAAAAACAAAGCCCATTCCAAATGTCCACCTTCTAAGGACTTACAGGGCTTTCTACCAGGCTGCTAACTATTCTGACCAAACTGGAAATCTGAACTTATCACCCTCCCTCATCACCAGAATTTATAGCAAACACTCCTAGATCATTAATCACTGTCATTATGTGTGCAATGATCCTAAACTGGGTGCTGTGATAGAGATTACCAAGAGAAGCAAGGGTGTCACGGTAGAGATGCTTTACATAAAGAGGACACTTTTAAGCTCAAACCTAAAGGAAGAAAGAACACTCAGTTATTGTTGGCCTTGCAAAAGCTCAGGGGAATGGCAACGCAGGCAGAGGGAATGGTAAGTACCAAAGTCCTGAATGGGAAATGTCAAGCAAGGCTGATAGATTCGGCCAGTAGAGAAATAAGCCCTAGTAAGGCTGTTATTACAGTTGTCCCTCAGTATGTGTGGAGGACTGGTCCCAGGACCTCCTTCGTATACCAAAATTCATGGATGCTCAGTCCCTGATATAAATATGGTGTAGTATTTGCATATAACCTATATATATCCTCCTATATACTTAAAATCATTTCTGAGTATCTTATAGTACCTAATACTATGTAAATAGTCATGATAATATATTTTTTAAAGAATAATGACAAGAAAAATGTCTGCATCTTCAGTACATCATTTTTTTTTTACTAGAATATTTGTCATCTGTGGTTGGTTGGATCCAGGGATGTGAACCCTTAGATATGGAGGGTCAACTGTACTTGTAGAGACAGTAAAATGCAAAGGTGCAGCCTTCCCATAATGTCTTGCCCTACAGAAAGACACAAACAGAAAAGGGACCAGATGACACGATAATACACGTAAGGGGAAGGGCAGTCAGCCGCCAAGATGCTGAGTCCATGTCACAGCTAAGTATTATATTAGATTGGTACAAAAGTAATTGCAGTTTTTGCCATTAAAACACTTTTTTAAAAATGACAGGAAACAAATTTACAAGAAAAAAACAAGCCCATCCAAAAGTGGACAAAGCATATGAACAAACACTTTTCAAAAGAAGACATTTATCTAGCCAACAAACATATGAAAAAATGCTCATCATCACCGGTCATTAGAGAAATGCAAATCAAAACCGTATATCACATTGAGATACCATCTCACACCAGGTAGAATGGTGATCACTAAAAAATCTGGAGACAATAGATGCTGGAGACGATGTGAAGAAATAGGAACGCTTTTACACTGTTGGTGGGATTGTAAATTAGTTCAGCTACTGTGGAAGATAGTGTGACAATTTCTCAAGGAAACAAATATCATTAGACCCAGCAATCCCATTACTGGATATATACCCAAAGGATTACAAATCGTTCTACCGTAAAGACACATGCACATGCAAAGACTTGGAACCAACCCAAATGCCCATCAATGATAGAGTGGATAAAGAAAATGTGGCACATATACACCATGGAATACCACACAACCATAAACAACGATGAGTTCATGTCCTTTGCAAGGACATGGATGAAGCTGGAAACCATCATTCCACTGACAGAAGAACAGAAAACCAAATACCACATGTTCTCACTCATAAGTGGGTGTTGAACAATGAGAACACAAGGACACAGGGAGGGGAACATCACACACTGGGGCCTGTTGGGGGGTGGGGGAGCTATGGGAGGGATACTAGGGGACGGGTTGAGGAAGGATAACATTAGGAGAAATACCTAATGTAGATGGTGGGTAGATGAACGCAGCAAACCGCCAGGGCATGTGTGCACCTATGTAACAATCCTGCACGATCTGCACATGTACCCCAGAACTTAAAGTATAATAATAAAATAAAAATAAAAAATAAAAATGACAGGAATTGTAATTACTTTTGCACCAATCTTGAGTTGTTAGTTTTATAGGCTGCAGCTCTATGCTACAAGTGACTCGAGGTGGAGTCTCAAGAGTTCATCAGAACCCAGGTGATGAGAAACTGTCTCACTCTCTCCTTCCCAAAAGATCAAGAGGCAAATGATATCCTCCATATTCCCATGTTCCAGTTAGATTACAGAACAGTCTTCCAAGGTTCAGTCAGGTCATCTGCGACAAAACCCTGCCCAGCTGTGGATTAAGCGGCCATACACCAGGCCATCAGCATGCTGGCAAGAGTAAGAACAGTGGCAAGAAAGCCAGTTAAGGAGCTACTGCACATAGGACAGGAAAGACATAGTGGCTTTGGTAAAGTAGAGATTGCCTGACACGGGCCGATTTGATTTTCATTTTTGAAGTGGAAGAAATAATCACTAATTAACTCATACTGGGGTAAGGCACAGAAGAGATAAAGTGAAAAATCAAGGATGATTTTATAGGCAGATTTCTGGCTTGAAAAATTAGATGAAAAACCTAGAAAAATCAAGGTTTCTGAGAAAATAAGGAGTGGGAAACAACACAAGTAGGAGTATTTGCCTTTGAAAGGAAAAGATACATCCATTAAATCAAAAGAAAATGGTAATTTACATTTTCTCAAAGATGTATAAAAAACAAAGGGTTGGACATTGAGAAGGCTAGTTCAAGTCAAGCTAGAAAAAATAAAAAAGTAGTAAAATAATTATCTCAAAGTTAGAAAATGAACTTAGTAGGGGAACATAGTAAACGTCACTAAGCAGTACTGAGAATCCACTTGAGATCTGCAAACATCAGTATGAAAATGGTCTGTTCGATAATTCTTCAGCAATGTTGGGCTGCTTGAAAACAGGCATGAAGGAAACATAGCTATTACTTGGTTTGGGTTCTGAAAGAGGAATACAGAGTCAGGGGCAAAGGAATTGAGGGTGTACGCAAGGAAGCAAAAATGAACTTTGAGCTGAACAAGACAGATGATGCATAAGAGAGTGAGGTCAAAGTGCAGAACTTCAGCAGTGAAGAGGGGCGGTGACAGTGAATGGAGAGTGGAACATTCAAAATCAGGTCTACAGAGTGGAGGTGCTGATAAGGATCCAGGTGCAACCACTGAGAGGCCAGTGGTGGGATAGAGAAAAAGACTGGAAAACTTAAAACATAGTGTTGTTATATTTGCTAGCTGCTATTTGTTATCCACAAGAAATCACTAAAATGATTGCTACAGGGGAGAAGAAAACTAGGCCATGCACTAAAGTATTCTATGAACGGGCAGAAGGTTCTTCTTGGAAGAAAGATAAGGAAAGGAGGCAAGAATAGGACTTCAAAGACCCAAGGGGGTCTTTATTAATTATTCTGAAGTGACAGTAGAGCAAAGAGGACATCTACTTAATCTCCTGCTACTGAAGCACATGGAAAATAAGAATAGAAAAAGCTTCTACCTGAGGTAGGCAAGGTCCTGAAGGGACACTTCTGTCAGTAATTACGTCAAGGAAGCAACTAAGATATTGGGGGAAAAGACCACAGATGTGTGTTAGCTGCTCTGAACTTGGGAATGTATCATTAACTTATGTCCATGGAAGTTCAGCTCATTAGTTTAGACAAGGGATCGGCCAATTATGACAAGCAAATCAATCCCCCAACCAATTTTGTATGGCCATTAACTAAGAATGTTTTTTATATTATTGTTTTATTTTATTTTTTGAGACAGCATCTCGCTCTGCTACCCAGGCTGGAGGTTAGTGGCACAATGTGGCAGAGTCTCAGCTCACGGCAGCCTCTGACTCCTGGGTTCAAGCAATTCTCCTGCTTCAGCCTCCCGAGTAGCTGGGATTACAGGTACCTGCCAACACACCTGGCAAATTTTTATATTTTTAGTAGAGATGGGGTTTCACCATGTTGGCCAGGCTGGTCTTGAACTCCTGACCTCAAGTGATCCACCCACCTAGGCTTCCCAAAGTGTTGGAATTACAGGCGTAAGCACCGTGCCCAGGCGGTTGTTGTATTTTTAAAGGGTGGCAAACACACGTATGTTCACGAATATGCAACAGAAACTACATTTGGCCTATGCTGCCTAATATATTAAATATTTACTTTCTGGCCTTTTACAAAGAAACAGTTTGCTAGCCTCTAGTTTACAAAAATAAGTTACCTTTACTTTGTTTCATGGCCATGAACTATAGACGTTGTCTTACAAAAATGTGCCACTGACTTAGAAGCGGTCTAGAAGAAGGGAGCACAAGTTATCACCCCATGTGAACATGTTTAACAGGTAAGGATTAAGGACATCTTAAGCATCACTCTAAAGACAAGTTATCTCTGAGGCTACTTTGATCCAACTAGGAGTGACATAATTACTATGGTCCTAAATGGTAAACACATTCATTCAATAAATGCTTATCTAATCTAGTTTCCCAGCAGTGTAGCTTATTAGTTATAATCTTTGCTTTGACAACACAGGGGAAATTAGAAACAAATATTTAAGAAGGAGGACAATCTGTCATTTTTCACAAGTTATTCATCTAACAGTAGGGGCTTTAAGTGTCAGTTTAAGCAATTCTTAATCTCTTTCATGTAATTTATAACTCAGTTTTTACAACCATTTTCAGACTTAACTATGAGCCAGAAGCGAGAGAGAAGGTTACTGTCCATATCACAAAATGTGAAATTAGGTAATCATAAATACACACACACACGAAAAAAAAACATTTTTTGTCCAAAACATTCGAGCTGGGAGAGGGTTATATTGCTTCCTCCCAGCCCGAAATTAAGATGAAAAAGATTAAACAACTTTTTGCAGATGATGTCTATCTATTTTAGCAACTTATTATAAATGAAAAGCAATGTTCATTTTAAAATAAATCTAACACCATTTTTGAAACTGCAAATGAAACTCTCATTGTATAAGAGAATGTCAATACCAAATTCTTGTATATTGACAATTATGTACCATAATCAATGAATATAATTTGAAACTCTCAAGTTATTTATTTTCAATTCAAGCGTAGACAATTAGGCCACTGCAGTCATTTCCACATCTGAGTCACTTGATTCATCATTTAGTTCCAGTTCTCCTAAATTTTCATCATTTAGTTCCAGTTCTCCTAAACTTTCATCATTTAGTTCCAATTCTCCTAAATTTTGATGTACAGTTATAACAGTTTTCCTCTTACACTTCTTCGGAATTGCATCATTAGCGCAAATTTTTCTCATTTTAATGTTTGGCAACTTCTTCAGATCAAAGTCCCATTCCCTAGACAAAAGGAAAAAAAAGAGTACAGAGTGTTGAAGTGAAAAAACAGGAGACAGTAAATTTTTGAAACTCAGAGGATCCTCCAAATTCAAAACTTCAAAAGCACTAAAGGAAAATATTAAGCATAAATTACAAGAAAGCTGTTCTATTCTTTCATCCTCCCTGAGTATCTCCTTCTCTCAGGCTACCCAGATCAAGAAATCACAATCAAAAGTAGAAATTGTTATCATACCTGACAAATCTCCAAAATATAGTCAGAAGAGGTTTTCCTTTTCACACACAGAAGTACATCCCAGTTAAGTTTCAGAAATCAAACAACTGTTATTCTTATAATGGAAAATATTCAGTTATTCAACCTCAGTATTTTCTGTGATAATTAATTACTTTAGAAATAATATGGATATTGTTTTGGGAACTGAACTCTAACCAGAAGGCTATACTCATCTCTTTTCTTGCTTCTGGCTTTGTTTGGAGGGAGTAGAAGATACATTGTTTTAGAAATAAAGGGCATATTTATATATTTGATTACAGGCAAAATAAAAAGGTATAAAAAGGAACTTAAGCTCCATAAATTTAAATTATAAATACATGCTATACATAAGCTCAAAAGCGAACTGCATCTTAAACATGATAGATGAATTCTATTAAAGCTAATTTAGTTTCAATGAATTCAAAAGTACAGAAGATGACTGGATTTAAATTTATCTAATTTCAATTAACATTAAATATAAGAGCCATCAACATGGTCTAGTTAAGACCAAAGTGCTTAATACAACAGAACCTGTGTTTAAAAACTAAAACACTGCTTGCTGATTCATTTGTTTCTTATAGATTCTGGATATTAGGCCTTTGTTGAATGCAAACAGTTAGAGAATATTTTCTCCCATTCTATAGGTTGTCTGATTACTGCCTTGACAGTTTCTCCTGCTGTGCAGAAATTAGGTCCCATTTGTCCAACTTTGTTTTTATTGCAATTGCTTGAAGGCTTAGTCATAAATTCTTTGCAAAGGCTAGTATCAACAAGGGTATTCCCTAGGTTTTCTTCTAGGAGTTTTATATATTATCCTAAGTGAACTAAGTAAGTAACACACAAACACAAAAGCAAATACTACATGTCTCACTTAGAAGTAGGAGCTAAACATTAGGTACATAAAGTCATAAAAATGGGAACAACAGACACTGGGAAATACAAGACAGGGGAGGAAGAGGGGTAAGAGGTAAGAAAAACCACCTCTTGTGTGCTATGCTCACTACCTGAGTAATGGACTTATTCTTACACCAATCCTTAACATTACACAATATACCTTCGTAACAAACCTGCACATGTACCTCTGAATTTAAAATAAAAGTTGAAAAAAGAGAAAAAAAAAACCTAAAAAATTGAAATCCTACTCAGTAGCTTCTACAACTAGAGACCGCTGGACAAAGCGAGTCTTGATGACTTAACCTGTTCCCTGGAATCATTCCTATAACCATCTCCTCTGCGAAAGAGGCTGCTACACAACAGCCTAGGGATGTGACTGAGCCATCACGTCTGTTGCTCTTATTTCTTTTTTTAAAAAAAATAAGAACTAAGGGAGGAACAGTGAGATCACATACTTTGAGGTACTATAATAATAATGTATCTTAAACCATTTTGAAAAACAAGCACACCAGGTCACTATCCTGTCAATGCATATCAAGTATTTATAAGCGCAACTTCAGAAAATTCTTACTTGGTCTGATAAAAAAGAAAAGGTTAAAAGAAACCCCTGATTTTCTTTTAGTTCCACCGTCTAGACTCAAAGGGGAAGAAAGTTCACTTGTCACGTACTTTACACACAGCGTCAAGGCAACAATACAAGACAGACTCACCTAAATGTTTTCAGATTACTTGCATTTAGAATGTCCGGAATCTCTGGAAAAGAGAATAATTTATCTCCATTAGGCAAAGTTTTCTAAATGACACAATTTTACAGTTCCCTCTTTTGTTATTTTTATACAACAAATAATTTTTAGCAAAAATATCCAAAAGAAAATAAAATTTCAAAGTATTGCTACAATTAACATGAAAAGTTTGACTTAAGAAAAATGCCATTAAATGATCAGTTCTAGCATAGACTCCATGAAATAAAACAAAGCTATTAACAAAATAAACCCTTTCCTTTTTAACAATAAAAGGTACCTGGCAAAGTATAACTATCAATCCGCTAAAATAACATGCCAGGTTATATATTTTTTCTTGGTGAAAAGTATAACGTTTTCAAACATGTAATAATCTACCTTCACAGGGTAGAATTTATCACAGGAATGCAAAAATTATTGTTTTTAAAAAATCTTATTTTTCTAAATGTGAAAAAAGACTTTTTCAAATTAAAAAAAAATCTGCTTAAAGAAGTTCAATAAAACTTAAACCTATTTTTAATTAAAAACAGGTATATGGTAGTTTCTTAGCTTGTTTCAAAAGTTCATCATAAACCAACATGCATGATCACACTTAAATTGGTGAAATACAAGAGGCATGAACAAAAAAATTGGAAGATTGTTGCAAAAAATCTCGTCAATTCAATACAATGTTAAATGACATTTAGTATCCAGCAATAAAGAAGATAAAAATAAGCATGTTTGTTACAACTAGATACTGACTTTTTTTTTTTTTTTGAGATGGAGTTTGCCCAGGCTGGAGTGCAATGGCGCGATCTCGGCTCACTGCAACCTCTGCCTCCTGCATTCAAGTAATTCTCCTCCCTTAGCCTCCCAAGTAACTGGGATTATACCATACTCAGCTAATTTTGCATTTTTAGTAGAAACAAGGTTTCTCCATGTTGGTCAGGCTGGCCCCGACCTCCCAACCTCAAGTAATCTGCATGCCTTGGCCTCCCAAAGTGCTGGGATTACATGCAGGAGCCACCGTGCCCAGACTATGTTGACTTTTTACAACAGTTTCAGAGAATAAATAACAGTATGAGATGCTAGGTGTTAAGAGGTATAAATAAGCACAAAAAAATTTTTTTAATGAAACTTATTGAATTAGAAATATTTACACCACATGAGGAGAAGAGAGGGGATGGTCATATCTAGTCTTCTCAAAATGTTATCAAAATGGAATTTGGTGACAATCTCCCCACAAGAAAACTGACACCTGTAAACTCATCAGAGTCTGTTCACCAGAGCCATCCTGTTTCTGGGAAAAGCACTGCAGCATAGCAGATCTGAATTTTAGTCCTAGCTGTATCACCAGCAAATGGTTTACTTTGGATGTGCTCTGATAAATACTACCAACTAATCTGGCTGCTACATGTTAAACAGACTTTAGTGGGAAAGAGTGGAGGCACAGAGAGCAACTGGGAGGCTATTACCACGATAGTGGGGAGACGACAGTGGCTTGAACCAGGGAGGTGGGAAGTGGTAGTAGTAGTTGTCAAAGTCACCAGATTCTAAACACTCTGCTGACAGGCTGCATGTAGACTGTGAAAGTGACTCTAGTTTCTGATCTGAGCAACTGCGCAAGTGGTGATGCCACTGACTGGAGAAAGAAACCTACGGGAGGAGCAAGGTTTAGGAGAAAAGCTGACCTTTGTTTTATGACATGTCAAGTCTGAGATGCCCAAAAGACATGCAAATAGAGAGTTTGAGAAACCCAAGTGTGATACTGCACATCTGGAGTTCTAGGGACAAACTAAGGTTGACAAGATGAACATGAGAGTAATCAGTATTACTATCACAGTGAAAAGATATGATGTCACTCTCACAAAATCGATAGTTTTATTGTAGAGGAAAAAAAAAGAATCAAAAATTATTCTAAATCCTTACAAAGAAAAGGATACCAAAGGAAGAAAACCAAATGAAATAAACAATATATAAAATAAAACCTTTGAAATCAATCACAAATTGACACTGCTCTGTAATATAAAAGGAAAATAAAAAATCAGTGAGCACACCAAGGCCATATCCTTCATACTGCTGTCGCTCTCGCTCCATCGTCTGCTTGATGACAGTCTCCCGGGAACAGTGCCGCCTCCCCTGCCTGTCCTTGATACTGTTATGTAACTCAATCTGCTCCAGCTCACTGCTGAATCGGTTTAAGTACCTGAAAAATAAGAATATGATTTGTGTTATATACAAAGTCTACGGATTTGGCATTTATTGCTTAATGGAAAACTTAGTATCCAGCTTTCGTGTGCCCTTTAAATGTTTATGCTCCTCTGGAGTCCTCAGGTCCTCAAACCTCTTCTACCCATTCCCTGGATAACTCGACCATTTCCTTAACTTCAGTGACCAAATCGCAGCCTACTATCAAACTGCAGACCCTGACATTCAACCACCATCTCCAACTAGGTCCCCTAGTGGCTTCACCATTAGCACATCAAAACTGAACTTGTCATCGCCCTGTCCTCACCTACCCCCCACCAACCCCCTCTCTCCTGGGTTTCCTAACTCAGGAAACAGTTGTCCAGACAAGGAATCTGATGGCCTCGTTGACTGCTGTCTCTCCCTGTTATTCTACACCTAAGTTTTCACTAAACACTGAGACTTCTACCCTCTTAATATCTTTGGAATCTTTCACTTCTCTTTTCTTCATGCTATAAGCCATGCAAAGGCTACCATCATTTCTTGCCTGGACTGTTATACCAACCTTTCAACAGTTTCTTGGCCAGAGTCATGAACCTCTCAGTCTGTTTTCTTCATTCTCACTGTATCCTTTCTAATGTTAAGTATGATCTTTTTAGGTGCTTGCTGTAAAAGCCTCCTATGGCTCCTAATGTCCTCGGATAAGGTCCAAACTTTTAGAATGACATCTGAGGTCTTTCATGAGCTGGTTATCATGTATTGTACCTGCCACACTTCCCTCCTTGAACTTATTTTAGTCATATTAAATGTCTGGCAGATCACTAAATATGTTATCTTCATTCTTACTTCTGGCCATTTTAAATATCTTTCTGGCTAGGGGTTCTTTAAACTACCTTGCCTTGATCTGCTAACCCCTACCTTTTGCCAGTTATAGATGACACTTCTCCTGGAAGCCTGTCGTGATCCCAAGAAAGTGGTCCAACTACCACTCTGAGACCCAAATAGGTTACAAACCTCCTGTAGTGACTAAGCCAGGAAATGAATCCAAAGTCTTCCTGATAACCAAGCCCATTTGCTCTTCTACAACTCCAGAACACAGCTCTGTGTTTTAAAGAACCCCGCTGGAGAATTCCGTTTTCTGACCCTTTGCTCATAATATTCCCAGTGTTTACCTTTCGATTAGTTCACAAGCATCTTTCTTTGAATATCCCTTTTTTTGGGGATCAAGATGATTTTGAAACCACTGCAGTTTTTCACCTAAAAACAAGTACCAAGACACTTTACCACAACATCATTGTTTAAGCAAGGAAGTATTCATTATAATTCTCAACATTAACATGCTTAAAACAGAACCAAAATTTATGTCAATGTTAAACACAAAGCGTTGTGTGGGCTCACAGCTGATTAGAACAGTCTGTCACAAATTAAACTGTCGTCAGATTTTAATTTAGAAAAGAGAGAGGAGTGGGAGGGATGCTCTTCTGTGTATATTTCTTATCCAATATGGATGCAAAAAAGGAAAATAATCCTTTAATTGGGCATGAGTTTCTAAGTATTTATAAGCAAAGAATAGCTTGTCAAACATAATAAAATGAAAACTCCATTAATGATGAGAATGGTATTTGCTGAGTATTTAATAAGCTGCAGGCACTAGGTAAATAGTTTTATAATCCCATGATAATTAGTACTATTATTACCACCGTTTGTAAATGAGAGAGGTTAAATAACTTGTCCAGGGCCCCAAAGTTAGCAAATAAATGAAGCATACAAGAGCTGCCAGATACTGTGTAGAATAATTGAGATATATTAACAAAGAGCCAACAAAATTCATCCTTATGAGAAAACCTGAATATTGGGGTCACTTTCCGTTAGAGTTCTCAAGATTACATATTAAAAAAAAATCACCCTGTCCAGTATACTGCCACCCCATTTAAAAATACTATTCTATTACCTGAGGAAGCATTATAGATGAGGGTTCAAATATCTTTCATTTTAATAAAAGAGCCTAACAGTATTTAAATCTCAGACTTGTCAATAAAAAATTATTAGCAATAACTCTGAACAAAAAAAGTGACATGATGCTGAGATACAAACTGAATAGTATGTCTACACCATTAAATAAAAGTGAATTATTGTTTCTACCTAGGCCATAATCCTTCATAATTCTAATGGTTAGGGAGGTAGAGTTAAACTTCAGATAGACTAATAGATGGATATGTATATATGTGTAGACAGGTAGGTAGATAGATAAATATAAACTAACACTTTCTGGAAATCTTAGCTAGAAATCATTAACACTATTCCAAATTTAATGATTGATTTGTTTTGTTTAGGTCAAGTCTGATCAAATTCACTTTGATAAAAATAATATTTCACTAAAAGAGTAAAAAGAAAAAATAGGTATAGGGCAGAAATTCCCTATACTCTAGCCAGAATTTCAAACAAGTAAGCCCACTTACCAGTAAGGTTGAGACGTAAGGCCTTTTCATTCTTCAGTCTTTGAAGGAAAGGTATATATGGATATGTGTTAGAAAATTTCCAAAGCAAGTTTTAAAACTCTAACAATAACAACCAAAAGACTGGCTAAAGAACTCTAATTAAATGATCATTCTTTTACAAATTTGAAAATAATTTTGTTAACAGAAACACTAAATACCATGCTTCTCTTTTAAATCACTAGAACGAAATTTTATCAGAAACTTTTTATAAGCTCCTCAATGTCTAAAGGAAGCCTATCAAACAAAACAGTTGAAACACTAAAAGCCGGACTGAATTCTGAACGTTCAATGGGTTTTGTAATATGCAGAATACTTGTGTACAAGAGTAATGCAAACCTTTGGAAGATTGAGTGCTGCCACCAAGACCAAAATGCACTATTATCATTTTTAAACGTCAAAAAAAACAAAACGGAATGATTACTTTCCATGAATTTGAAAAGAATTATAACAAACAAAAACTTCATTTATTTTCAGAAAGTGTATAGGTAATACATGCCTCCTATTTACTGATACTCTAAACACTTATTCATTCAGGAGACCTCTGGATACCAAGTTTTTGCCAGACTTCATTTTCTGATAGCCCCAAGGGATACAGCAATGAACAAAAAAATCCACTGTCCCTGTCTTAACAAACATTAAAATCTAAGATTAATAAAAACACAGAGAAGCATACAGAGCCACAAAAGCATATTTAAAAAGCAACTACTATATGTTTTAGGATTTTGGAAGGTTTTCCAGGGAAGTAAACTTTAAGCTGAGACCTGAACATGCAGAGAAGTTATTCAGGTTTAAAAAAAAAAAAATAGGGACTACAATTATGGGAAAAGAAAAATCTTAGCCATAGGAGAAGGCTTTGTATAAAGCAGGAAGTATAAATAGCTGTTATCCACAAAGAAGTACGCAAACCAGATTTACCCTCCCATTTTACACAACTAGAGAACTGGATAAATAAAATGAAATCTTTGTTATTACAGCCAGTGCTCAATTTACGACCACAATTGGTTCTGACAGACCAGTCGTAACACGATTTGGTTGTAAGTTGAGTAGGCTGTATGTACAGTACTGTGAAATGATGTTACAAAAATATTTAAGTCATATTTTATCATAATTTTCTTTCATTATTGTTACATATCATTTTCTTTGTTCATTTTATGCCATTTGTATCATCTCTACACCATTTTGTTTCTTATTTTTACATTCGTCAGGTTTAAGTAAAACACTGCATTACCAGTACAACTGGTTTAATATTTGCAAAACATGCAAAATTACAAAATACAGGTGCATACAAAAATACAAAATACAGGTGTAAAAAATACCATAGGAAACATTTTCCCAATTGCAAAACATATCAAAATATATAAACATGTAGGAAACATTTTATTGGCCGCTGGTGCTTGGCTACAGATTGTTGATGTCGTCATCTGAGGCAGCAGTTGGGGTTACCTGAGTTGGTTTTTTCATAAACATGGTGAGCTTTGTCTGAATCGCATGTTTCTTTTTTTCTTCATAAATTTCACGATACGGACGAAACACATTGCACCATCCGTTCAATCCTTGCAAATTGTTCAATGTTTGGGTCCATTGCTTCAAAATGTATAAGAAGTTTATTCAGTAAAGATAAAACGTCTGATAATCCCTTAGTGGTGAACTTTCTTTTTTTTTTTTTTCCCCCATTTATTTATTTTATTGCATTTTAGGTTTTGGGGTACATGTGAAGAACATGCAAAATTGTTGCATAGGAACACACGTGGCAGTGTGATTTGCTGCCTTCCTCCCATCACCTACATCTGGCATTTCTCCCCTTGCTATCTCTCCCCAGCTTCCCGCCCCCCACCGTCCCTTCCCTATTTCCCCCCAATTGACCCCAGTGTGTAGTGCTCCCCTCCCTGTGTCCATGTGTTCTCATTGTTCAACACCCGCCTATGAGTGAGAACATGCGGTGTTTGATCTTCTGCTCTTCTGTCAGTTTGCTGAGAATGATGGTTTCCAGGTTCATCCATGTCCCTACAAAGGACCCAAACTCATCGTTTTTGATGGCTGCATAATATTCCATGGTGTATATGTGCCACATTTTCCCTATCCAGTCTATCTTTCTTTCTGGCTCGTCCTCTTCTTTCTCTGCTTCTCTTCTTTCTTCTTCTGCCACTCTTTCTTCTTCCAGTTCGATTAGCTCTTCATTTGTAAGTTCTCCAGATTCTTGTCTAGCAACTCTTTGACATCTTCCATTTCACACTCCAAAGAAAGGTCTTTAGCGAGTTTTACTACTTTTTCCCGAATCCTTTCAAGTTTATGTTCACTGTCAAATCCGTCAAAATCATTAACATAGCCCTTAACACAATTTTTCCAGATGCTATTCATGGACTTTGTCGTCACAGCCTTCCAGGTGGTAGCGATATTCTTGATACACATCAAAATGTTGTAGTGTTTCCAAAAATCTACAGCGGAGCAGTCGTGGCTAGCGATTGTGGTCTTAAAGTCGAATGGTCATAAGTTGCATAGGTCATAAGTCGATCAATACCTGTATTATTTTTAGAGGTAGGGCCTTACTCTGTAGCTCAGGCAGGAGTGCAGTAGTGCTATCATTGCCCACTGCAGCCTCAAACTTCTGGGCTCAAACTCCTGGGCTCAAGCAATCATCTTGCCTGCTAGGACTATTTTCCACTATAGCTGGCTAATTTTTTTTTTTTTTTTATTTTTGTAGAGACAGAGTCTCACCATGTTTCCCAGGCTTGTCTCAAACTCCTGGCCTCAAGCAATCTTCCAACCTCGGCCTTCGAAAGCACTGGGATTACAAGGATGAGCCACCATACCAGTTATAGGAGAAAATATTCATAACACAAATAACAAAGGACTTGTATCTAGAATATACAAACAGTCTTTACTACTTAATAACAGATTAATAACCCAGTACCAAAAAGGCAAAAGATGCCCAACATCATCAGTCATCAAGAAATGAAAAATTAAAAATTATATACCTACTAGATTGGCTAAAATTAAAGAGGGAAAACAAAATCTCTGACAATATAACATGTTCAAGAAGATACACAGTAAATAGAACTATCATATGCTGGCAGTGAAAATATAAAATGGTACTGTCACTTTGAAAAAGGTAATTTCTTATATACATAAACATATGATCCAGCAACTCTTATAAACCCAATTTCCTATAAACTCAAGCAAACATCTTACATATGTTGACCCAGCAAGTTTTATAAACTGAATCTCTTATAAACTCAAACATCTACCCAACAATCATAGTTCTAGAAACTAAAAGAAAAATGAAAACATACGTCCACACAAACACCTGTATGTGAGTGCTCATGGCAACTTTATTCCTAATAGCAGAGGTTGACAAGTATTTTCTTAAATGGTCAAGTGGTCACATTTTAGACTTTGGGGTCCATCTACCTGTCACAATTACTCAACTCTGCCACTGCAGCATGAATGTAGCCATAGAAAACACAAAAGAAACCAGCATTGATATTTTCCATAAAAACTTTTCATAACAGGTGGCTAATGCCTTAGCTTGCAGACCCCTGATAACAGCCAAAAACTAATTATATCCAAATGAACACAGACAGTGAATTGATAAGCAAGTTGCATATCCAGTGAATGGATATAAATAAATTGCCTGCGGATGGAATAATATTCCCAACATAAGGAAAGAACAACTAATACATAAAATGGCATGGATAAGTCTCATAAACATTATGCTATGTGAAAGATGCTGGCACAAAAGACCACATACAGTATAATCCCATTTATAGTAAGCATTAGAAACATAAATCTCACCTATCAAAATAAAGAGCAAATTAGTGGCTGCCTGAGATGAGGGGTGAGGACTGACTGGAAGGTGCACAGGGAATTTTCTAGGAAGATGAAATTGTGCTACATACGGATCAGGGTAGCTACATCAATGTATACAATTGTCAAAAACCACACTTAAAATGTGTTCACTTTATTATATATTAATTAAACCTCAAAGTTGATTTTAAAAAACAAAGAACACTTCATAAAAAGTTGGAGAATGGCTCTGAGAGGAATTTGTTTCTTTTAAATAAGGCTGGAGGGAAGAATCTAGTTAGAAGTCAAGCCGCAGTAACTCCAAATGGACTCAGTGGGAATCTGCACTTACAGTGGTATTGGTGGAATGAAGAAAAGTAGAGAGATTAATTCTTAAGATAGACAATGTGTAAGCACGATTTTTAAAGAGAATCAATTAAATGTAGTGTATCAGTAAGATTAATTCTCAAAGGCAGTTGTTTCTGCGATTCTTACCCATGCTGCTTAGTTTCCTTTGTTAATTTTCCACTTGGAGTCATTTTCATTTGCTATCTATGTCAAAATGTTGCTATGCTGAGAAATCATAAAACAAAATCACATCATATAAACGAGCCACTTGCTGCTTGTAAATTGTTCATTGATCAGAATGTACTAGTCTTCAAACCATCCTAGTTTCTGTTATATAGTCTAAATCAGAGCTTTTCAAATGTTGAAGATAAAGAATATGTTTGAACTTTTATTCTAGCATTGTTAACTACTCCTACAGTATTTTTTTTTTTTCTTTTTGAGACAGAGTCTCACTCTGTCACCCAGGCTGGAGTTCAGTGACATGATCTTGGCTCACTGCAACCTCTGCCTCCTGGGTTCAAGTGATTGCTTCAGCCTCCCAAGCAGCTGGGATTACAGGTGCCGACCACCATGCCCAGCTAATTTTTGCATTTTTAGTAGAGACGGGATTTCACCATGTTGGCCAGACTGGTCTTGAACTCCTAACCTCATGTGATCAACCCGCCTCAGCCTCCCAAAGTGCTGACATTACAGGTATGAGCCGCCGTGCCCAGTCTCCTACTGAATTTTTAAGTAAACTGAAGACATCACTAAACTTTTGCATCTATCACTCATCAAAAGGCACAGGGCACTCCCTAATAGATACCCTTCCCCACCTTCCTCCTATCTGTCCTTCTTCTGGAAAAGAAAACCTAGGAAGCAGTACAAAGAATCCTGGATTCCATGGAAACATATTAAAACTACATACTCCAGTCTGCCTGGTTACCACTGTTACTTAGGAAACCAATTTTCTTTGGTAGGCAGACACTACCAAAAGGTGGCAAGATCTAAGATGGTCCCCAATTATTCTTGCCTCTTAATATTTATGTCCCTGTCCTCCATGGGTATGGTTGGACTTAGTGGCACACTTCTAACAAATACGATAGTGCAGTAGAGACAGATGTCATTACAAAATTAGATTAAAAAGACTTATTCATTCTCTGTTGCTCTCTGTCTCAGAGCTTTTGCTCTGGAGAAAGCAAGCTGTCATGTTCTGAGTAGTCTTATGAAGAGGCTCATGCAGTAAAGATTGATGCCTCCAGTCAACAGCCAGCCATGACCTGAGGTCTGCCAACAGCCATGTAAAGAAGCTTGGAAGCAGAACTTCTCCGTAGCAAGCTCTGAGATGAATGCAGTCCCATACAACAGCTTAGCTGCAGGCTTATGAAAGACACTGAGTCAGAAACACCCAGTTAAGTGGCACTGGGATTCCTACATGATCCAGAAACTGTGCTTGTTTTAAGCTGATAAATTGTAGCATAACTTCTTATGCAGTAACAGTTACTAAAACATCTGGTGACTGCTGTTCATTTCTAAGAAGCCACAGGTATCCAAGTTCAAGTTAAGTACTATTGGTACCTTTTCTATGACCTTGCTTAAAGTTGTCCCAACTATCTGAGTATGTTGTCACCAATCATCTTTTGAAATGGCGCAGGGAATCAACAGCATTTCAACATGCCTTTTGTGACCACACTTCACAGTAAAGTATGATTCGTGGTCGCTGATGCTGCTACTCAAAAAACTGACATCTATGGTGGCCTAAGCCTATGATTTTATAGCATAAAATTTGTTAGGTACTATTACCTAACATATTTTTGTATATTTGGTTCTATGGCCATGCCTATTGAGATAATGACTTTTTAAAAATAAATTTTTAAAAGGGAAAAGAAAACATTCTATTTAGAATATTGTCCAAGCAAAAAAATTAAGTGATACCTTTCTACTCTGTATTACTAAAACAAAAGTCTTGGCAAATAAATAGAATTTTCTTAGGACAACA